AGGGGGAGAGCTGGGGACATTCCTTTCCTGGCAGGAGGGCTCTGTGGATTTGGGTTTCCTCTGGCAAGCCGGTCATCCCCAGGGACCTCTGTATGCAGGAGCTGGACACCCGCATCCTTCGGCCTGGTCCAGGGAGCTTTTCTTGCCCAAATGGGGAGAGCCTTCTTCGGGGGTAGGACCTTGTTCAGGCAGAGTGCCAGGAACAGCAGCAGGCCACACTGTCTGGACAGCCTGGGCCTCAGCACAGCTGCCTGAAAGGCCTGGCGGCCCCCACCCTTGCCCTCCACAGATCGCAGACGGGGTGTACGTCGGGTTCCTCAATGCCCTCATCGGATTCGCCTCCCAGCACGTCTACCACTGCGACCTGTGCACCCAGCGTGGCTTCATCTGCCAGATCTGCCACCACCACGACATCATCTTCCCCTTCGAGTTTGACACCACGGTCAGGTATGCGGGATGCCCTCCCCACAGCTGGCCCCAGCGTTCCGGGGGTGCAGGCGCACAGGGGACGCCGTGTGTGTGCTGGTGCCGCGGGCTGGTGAGGTCGTCTACAGCAGCCGATGTCCTGGGCATTCACGGCGGCTCTGGGCCAGCTCAGGGGACAAAAGAGCCCTCCGAGGACCCTTCCCCAGACCAAGGGAGCTGTCTGTCTCCCTGGAGAAGAGGTAGCTTGCCGCGTCTTTGAGCAGGGGCCTCAGTTCTGTCATCTACAGACGGGTTGAGGAGGGACCGAAGGAGCGGCCGCCCTGGAGTGTTGGCACAGGCCAGGCACAAAGTGGGCCCCCAGGGGCTGGCACCCGCCTGGTTCGCCCCGGCAGTGATGATGGTTCTTAGCTGGTTAGCACTCCTTATCAGAAGCCTCTTAGTGGAAAAATTCATCCACCAAACCTCCATTCCAGCCCAGGCAGAAACATTCATTCATTTTCAGGAGGTGTCTCATGGCCTAGATTCAGCCCCTGGGCTCCGTTTTTTAAACGGCAGAGTGTTTTCAACATAGGCAAGGAATCATCCCATGAGTCTCCAGCAGCATGTGGGAAAAGTGAATTAGAATCGAGCGTCAGCGCCTGTGGGGGGGGGGGGGCGGGCGCGGCGGTCGGGCGTCTGGCAGTGGGAAGGCAGTGCGCGCGCTGGGGTGGGGGCGGGCAGGGGCGGAACTCGGGCCCCATCCCCCCCCACCCAGGGCTCTGGTCAGACGCTGGCTGCCCTCCTCCAGGTGTGGCGAGTGCAAGACAGTCTTCCACCAGAGCTGCCAGGCCGTGGTGAAGAAGGGCTGCCCCCGCTGTGCCCGCTGGCGCAGGTACCAGGAGCAGAGCACGCTCAGCTAAGCCAGCATGCCAACCCCACCCAAGCCCTCGGGCGGTGGCACCCCGCTCAGCTGGGCCGTCCCAGCTGGGTTCGGCATCAGCCTGGATCCTCTCGAGGTGTCAGGAAGACTCAGATGGGACCAGTGCACGAGCCCACCAGACAAGGCCCTCGATGATGTCCCCCAGTCCCTCTCCCACCCGTCTGCTCCAAGAGGTGGGGACACCATCAGATGCCCCCTCGGCCCAGGGGAGACGGGCGGGGCAGCTTTGCACTAATCAGGCCCCAGCTCGCCTCACAGACGCGGCACCTCCATCAGGGCTGTTCAAACACTGTGGACACAAGACTTGGGCACATTCTCAATTCCACATTCCTGATTAAAAGGTCTAGTTTTTTAAGGCAGGTTTTTTTTTTCCCTTCGTATTTCAACAGAAAATATTTTTTTATTCTTGACCCTACACAAGTCACCCAAGAAATCCAGGCATTCTCACGCGGAGCAAACGTGTGGGAACATTTGGCCTGCAGGCCGGCGGGTGGCAGGGTGGGCAGGCCACCGTTGGGCCAGAGCCTGTCGGCTGGACCGGGTGCCTTTCCGTCACCCGTGCCGGGCCCTCGCTGCCCACAGCTCAAATACGACGTGCCAAACTGCCCCAGGGGCTGGTGGGACCGGTCCTGATGACCACCCTCTCCCTCTCCGTCTCCCTCTCCGCCCTGCCCTGTCCTCCTCACCTTTCTCCGGGTCAGAGCCCCCTGGCTCCCCTACAGCCTGGGATCTCGGTCCCCGTGGGAGAAGGGAGTGACTCAGAACCAGCACTGTCAGCACTTTGCGCCTTCCTTGGTCCAGGCCAGGGCTGTCATCTTCCCTACCCCTCAGCCCCTTGCCCTCCACACCTCCCGCAGCCACGCAGCCAGATGGGCCGGGGGCTGCTGGAGACACGCTCTCGGGGGGACACCCCCCCCTGCCCCACTGCCTGACTGACCCCTGCTGGGACAGAGGTAGGCTGGGCCCCCAGAGAAGGCAGTGAGCTGGGGCCAGGGGCCAGCCTTGGGCATCGTGACTGCCAGGCCCCACACCGTGGAGTGGCGACCCCTGGCCTTCCACGAAGAGGGCCAGGCGTGCTGCGGAGATGTACGGGGACACGCCGGAGCAGTCACCTTGTGGAAGGATGCTTACCCTCAGTTTACAAAGCCATGAATTCCCAAAGCTTTGCTGGACTGGCCCAGGAGGGGCGCTGCCAGAGACTGGAAAATGTCACTGGAGCGTGATTGCCTTTTCAAGGGGTCTTGGGGTAGAGTGGGAGCCTGGAATTGTTTTCAAAGCGACATTTAGACCCTGTGGTTTGGGGGTGATTGCTGCCTTCCCCCATCTCTCCTGGACCCACAGCCCCCCACTTCCCACCCTGGGTCCTCTGGCCATCCTGTCTGCTCTCAGCTTGGACCGGGGGCCTCAGGTGGAGATTGCCCGTCACTGTCAAGAGATGAATCTACTCCCACCTCTCCCTTGGGGTGATTCGGCTGCTGAGTCACCTGCCCAGCCCTGTGGAGCTGGATAAATTGTGCAATAGAACAGAGGAGGTGGTGGGCAGGGGTGGGGGAGGGGAGGGCTGCCACACAGCTTCTCTGTCCCCATCACGGAAGATGGTGCATACCTTTGCCCAGCACACCAAAGCCTCCTAAATGGGAAAGTGGATCCTTATCCCCGTCCCGCAGCCCCACAGCCAGCGTTAATGCTCCCCCACAAACCCAGCCCGAGCACAGCCGCGGGGGCCCCAATCCCCACGCGGACAGGGGCTGGCCTGGGATGGGCAGTGCCACCCCCCGGGGCCAGCCCTGGAGGGCTGGCTTAGGTTGGGTAGGGCCTGTCCACCCCACGGCCGCCTCCCAGGGGCTAGTTGTAGCATTAGAACTGACCCTCTGCCCAGTACCAGAAAGCTGCTAATGCTTCCAGATGAGTTGACTTTTACCCTCTCACCTTCAATGGAAAGCTGATGTGAAACTCAGTGGTGCCCACACTATTTTTAAAATGCCATTTTATGCAATAAACTTTCTAGTGAGGGGCGCTGGCCCTGAGTAGCGCTTTGCGATGTGTGGAAGGAAGTGCTGCTGTGTGATTTTTGAATGATTTTGCAGTAAAGACCTGATTTTTCTCACCTCTGGTCTCGCTTCTGAATCCTGATGCTGCCGCTGGTTGGGGGAGGCCACCAGCCACCCTGTCTGGGGGAGGGGGGCTTGTGCACCAGGCCTGGGCATGCAGGGGAGGAGAGGTGACAGTGTTCGGTCTGTCCTCTCCCCACTATGAGCTAGACGAAGGGGGTTTGGAGGGAGAGCATTTCAGGGCCTTGGTGGAGGTTTCCTCACACACGCTCATATGTAACAACTGAAGCTGATGCCTGATATCCCACCACAGTGGCTTCTTCCCCGTGCCTGTCGAAGCACAGACCCCTAACACCAGAACATGAGAGATGTCGGGACTGTTTTCCCGCTGGGTTTTCCAAAGCAAGAGAGGGGGCTCGAGGCCGGAATCAGGGCTCATGGTTTCAGGGCTCCACGTGGCATTTACTTGGCTGCTACCTTCCCCTGAAGTTCCAGGAGGAGCCCACCACTGCCCATGGTAAGGACAGAAGGAAACAGACGTTCCAGGGAAAGTGGGCCGCAGGAAAATGGGATTGAAACATTCAGCTTTGCAGTTCCTTGTCCTTGAAGACGCCTTTCAGCCCATAGAGAAGCTTCGCCTGAGCCCCAGCTTCCCTCAAGGGCCTCAAGTCCCTCCAGGGTCAGTAGGGGGTGGACTCTGAGAAGACCAAAGGAACTGGGTTTGAAGCCTGGGGACAGGGAGTTCAGGGCCATGAGACCTGGCTGCCTCCCTGCCTTTTTTCTCAGTGCCTCCATCCTCAGCAAGATGCCTCTGACTACATTCCTCTCTCCCTTTCCCCCTCCTGCCTAAAGGAGAATGGGGGACTTGGAGACCTCAATCCAAGACCAAAGAGGAAGACAGCTCATCTTACAATAAAAATTTAATAACAAATGTGTGTTCTTACAATAATAATGTGATAATACTCTACCGTGCTTAGTGCAGCTCATTCTCATTCATTCTTGCCAACTATCCTGTGAAGTAGGCGTCACTGTCCCCAGTTTACAGCAGAGAAAATTGAAGTGCTAAGAGTCCAGTTCCAGCAGGCTGCTCTGGGCTTACCCTATGGACAGCCTGGAGGGTGGCCCTCTTCCAGAGAAGGATGGGGGTGGGGGGGAGGCAGAGGAATGGAATCAAACAGTGGGAGGGAAATCTGGCCAGAAGTAGTCGAGGAGACACCCCCCCCCCAGCCCCCATGCCATCATCCAGGCCCTGCTGCTTCCACCTCCCAGAAGACAGCCAGGTGTGGCCCAGGATCCCAGGAGGTGCAGGGGGAGGGCGGCGTCTGTGCTCCCAGGGCGCTGGCCCGGCCCAGGGGGGGACAGGAAGCCAGGACACCGGGGATTGTCTCTAGCAGCCGCAGCCCTGCCTCAGCCCGGGAGGAAGTTCTGCCGGGCGCTCTCCGCTGGTGCCTCCCTCGCTGTATTGTTGAACAGGAAACCGGGCTGCGCGGGAGCGGGGCGGTGGAGGAGGGAGCGTCGGACGCCGAAACCACGCGCGCCTGCCGAGACGAGTGGAGGCGAAGCCAGTGAGCGGACACCCCGAGGTGCCGAGGCCGGGCCGGGCGGGGGGTGCTGAGCCGAGGGCGGGAGCGGGGGGTACCGTGCCGCAGGTGGCGGGTCCTCTCACCCGGGAGCGCCGCGCGCCTGCTCCCCTTCACCCGGCGCTGGGGCGGGAGCTGCGCGGACCCGGGAGCAGGGCCGCGCGGGTCGGATCCCCCGCGAGCAGCGGAGATGCGAAAGGCTGCCCTCCGTCCAGGGACAGGAGGGGCCCACGTCTAGGCCCCCGGCTCCGACCCAGGCGTTGACGCCGCTGTGGCTCGCGTGGCCCGGGGCAGTGGACCCAAAGCACCTCCTGGCCACGGGTCAGACCCCGAGTTCCTGGGATCCTCCCCGCTCCCCTTATCCCTCCGCACCTCTTCGCTCCCCCTGAGATGGGGAAGGAGCCGAGTCCCGGGTCCCCTCCCCACCCAGCCCGAGACCCTGCGCTCGAGTGGGCATCCCTGCTGCGGGAACTCCGCTCGGAGTTTTTCCAGGCCCCGCCAAGCTGCGCCCGGAAAGGGCCTGGGGAGGGCGGAGGTGGGTACGAAGGGAGTAGTGCCGGCACTCAGGCTGGAAAGGGCCGGTAGTCAGTGATTCGGGGTGCAGATGGCTTCGCTTGGTGTGGGAACGCCCGGACGAGGCAACGAACCGAGGTCGAGCAGTCCCAGAGCAGCGCGCCCGCGGGACGCAGAGGCTCGAGGACAACAAATCCCGCGGCGGGAGGGGGGGGGCGGGGGGGGACCGCAGGGCTGGGACCCTACCCACCTTGGGCTCTGCTCGCCGCCCGGCAGCACCCCTTCAGTCGCAGCCCTTCCAGTTCCCGCCCCCTCTTGCCCTGGGCCCCACTGCCACCCAACGTCCCCACGGGCCCAGACACACTCGTTCAAGCTCCTCCTCGACCCTCCCGGATACAGCCGCGATGGGGATTGGGGGCAGCCCTCCTGAGCATCCCTCTCCCTCTTTGCTCCCCTTGCCAGCTCCTGCGCCCCGAGGTCTCCCCGGCCTAGCCCTTGCAAGCCCCGCCCAAGGAGATGGCCGGGGCCTAACCTGCATCCATCTGCTGGCTCCGCCCGTCCAGCCCATGGGCCCGCAGAGACCTGCCCTGCCAACGTGAGTGAGCGGCGGGGGTGCGGGCGAAGGTGACGAGAAGGGGTATCCTCCCAGGGGTCCGTCGGCTTAGCTCCGGGCAGCTCACTGACTACACCTCCAGGGCCCAGTGTGCACCCCTTTCCCTGTCGAGGCAAGCTTAAGAAAGTAGTGAAGGAGCGCTGTGAGCCCCCGGCCAGACCCTGTTCCTTGGGTTCCTCAGCCTCAGCAAGCAACCGAACCCCCAGCTGCTGCTCCCGGGACACCTTTACTGGGCAGGAGATGGGGTCGGTGCAAAGGCTTGGAGGGACCAGCCCCTTAGGGAAGGAGCCTCAAATTAATCTCTTTGGTGGGGAGACAGAGGCGGACTTAGAGTTAGTCCCCGACCCCGTCACACCAAGAGCCAGGCTAAGCTGGCATGGCGAGGGGTGGGTTGGGGCGATCACTCCGGGAGAGCATGGGTAGTCACTCACAAAGTGCATTCTCTAGGGGCCCGCTCCCGGGGGGCGATGCGGAGATCACAGGGCAGGTGGGCAGGCCGCGAGGGCGGAGCCGCGCTCGGGAGGTGGAGGTGGGAGCCCTCGGAGAACCGGGGGCGGCGCGGGCCGGTCTGGGCGGGCCAGGCTCCGGGTTCACGTCCGCGGCAAAGCCGCCGGGGAAGGAAAGAGAAACCGAGAGAACCGGTTCCCCGGCCTTAGCAGTCCCGGTCCCTTATGCCAAGGCCCTTGGACTACGGGAAGCAGGGACACTCCCGGGGTAGAGCGGCGCCGGGGCGGCACCTAGAGCCCCGCGCCTCAACTCTGACCCGGCGAGCCCGGGGCGCAGAAGCCTGGAGAAGGGAAGAGGCTCTGGGGGCCCGGATTTCCTGAGGGCTGGTGGCGTCTGGGCGGGGCGGGGCAGGGGGCGGAGGGAATGGGCTGTTTTCCGCACGTCACAGACCGGGAAACTGAGGCCCAGTCAACTTTTTAGGCAAATGTGGTGTCGACTTATCTCTCGCATCTCTTTGAGGCAAGGCTTCCTTGGCTGTAAAGTTGGCGTAGTATTACCCACGATCTCCCCACCAAGGGATTGAATCGAGGCCCAAAGCATAACCAATGCCACAGAATGAAAGTGTCATAATTCCATTAGCGAGGGTAAGAATGGGAACCTTAGAGATTATTTTATCCAAGTCCCCCGTTTTTGAGATAGGAAAACTGAGGCCCTAACGCACACGAGGAATGCAGCATCCGGACTCGAACTCAATCAAGTCTTTGTCCTCCTCGTGCGGCGCGCCTCCCGGCTCGGGGGCCCTGACCTCCGCGCCCCTCCTCCTTGTCGCCCACAGGGAAACGCCACGGCCGCGATGGCGGCGGACGTCGAGGGGGACGTGTACGTGCTGGTGGAGCATCCCTTCGAGTACACGGGCAAGGACGGGCGCCGCGTCGCCATCCAGCCCAACGAGCGCTACCGGCTGCTGAGCCGCAGCACGGAGCACTGGTGGCACGTCCGGCGCGAGCCCGGCGGCCGCCCCTTCTACCTGCCCGCGCAGTACGTGCGCGAGCTGCCGGCGCTCGGGGACCCCGCCACCGCCTCGCCGCCACCCGCGCTCCGCCCGGGCCCCGCAGCCCCCGAGCCGCTGGCCTACAACTACCGCTTCGTGAGCGCGCCGGCGCCCGCGGGCCCCGACGGCACGCCCGCCAAGCCCCGGGGCCGCGTGAGCTCCCTGTGCGGCCCCGCGCGGCGCGGCGCGGAGACCCAGCGCAGCAGCCTGGCGCCGGGCCTGCCCACCTGCCTGTACACACGGCCCGCGGCGCCCGTGCGGCCCGCGCAGTCCCTGGACGACCTGGCGCGCGCCGCCGTCGCGCCCCTCGCCGGCCTCCTCGGGAGCGCGGGCAGCTTCAAGGCCTGCAGCGTGGCGGGCTCCTGGGTGTGCCCGCGACCCCTGGCGCGCAGCGACTCCGAGAACGTCTATGAGGCCATCCAGGACGTGCGCTGCCCGCCGCGGGAGGAGCGCCCGCAGCAGGTACGGGGAGCCGGGGAGCGGGGAGGCGGGCGGGGAGCGGGGGCGCGAGGAGACCGCCCCCTCCTCGGCTTAGCGGCCGGCTCGACGCTGAGCAGCAGTGTCCGCCGGCTGTGGACGAGCACCCTCGCACCGCGCCTCACTTTTCTCACCCGCGAAGCCCAAGGGGCGCAGGCTCCCAGTCGCTTATCTGCAATTCCGGAATGCTGAAGCTCCCTGGAGCCCGAATGTTTTCCCTAACACAGCTGGTGGCAAAATTTGACTTGAGCCCGTGGGAAGCCGTTGGTGGTCTTTATGATATTTAGTTCTCCGGCAGAAATGCAGATGAACTTGATTACGGCGTGCTGCCCCAAGCCTTGCTGGCAGGTGCGTGGGCCGTATTAACCTAACAGCCGCACCATTCCGAAACGCTTGGGGGTATGGAGTGGTGGACCTGCAGGCAGCCCTGGGAGCCCTTCTCCTAGAAGCTTGGGGGTCAAATGAGATAATGTGTGAAAGTCAAGGGTCTGCTTCCCTTTTTGGCTTCTCCCAACATTTCAGTTCCCCCTTTATTAAAAAAAAAAAATTTTTTTTATTTGTTTCAGGAAGAGGTCCAGTTATAGTGAGGATGTTTTTTTCGTTTCAGAATCCAGTTGTGTTAATTTGGGAAACTGAAAATAGAGCACGTTTTAAAAAACACTTGTACGTCCTCAGAATCCTTCGCATGGCCCTGACATCTTGAACTTTAGGAACTTGGGGCGGGGGGAGCCGTGGAGGGAGGATGCACAGACCCCCTTTTGACATCTGCCACCAGCTGGGTAATTAGGGGCAATTCATTTCCTCTCTCGGGGTCTCAATTTGTCCTTTGGCCCAAAGAGGGGTGGAAAGGGTGGAGGGATGAGCCCCCAAACCTTGTGAGTCTCTGATTTCTTTCTTTGTACTTGATGTAAACATTGATGCCTGGCACATGCCAGGACTGAGTCTGGGATGCCCAGCGGAAGGAGACACCGTCCCAGTCTGTGACCTCCTGGGTCTTCCCACCACCCGGTCTGGTTACAGTGCAAAGAGCTCAGGATCTGAAGCTGGAGAGACTCGAATTTGGCCCTGCTGGGTCACCTGCCAGCTGCTGAGGCGTCACTCAATTCCCCCAGCCCCAGTGTCCTCCTGTATAAAGGAGTAGCGTTGTGAGCCTACAACGAGGTGAGGCATGGAAGCGCTTGGCACGTAGTAGGCGCTCCACCAAGGCTGGCTGGGGTCCCGTTTGGTATCCTCGTGGGCGCCGCCTTCGTTTTGGTTTTTGCAAGGAGCAGCCCGCCCCTTGTGGCCATGGCGGGGAACAGCATCCCGCGGGTGAGGACTGGGACCCGGACTCCGCCCAGAGGGAACGGAAGCGGGGCAGTGGGAGGATCTTGGGCCCGGCGTCCCTGAAGACCAGTTGGCCAGCTTCTCTGGGACAGATGGCTGGATGCCAGCGCTCCTCACCCCGGCGTCCATCCGTTTCCCAGGCAGGCTCTCGGAGGCGCATTCCGGGGCCTCTCCAGATTCTCGGTCCTGCTTGCCCCTCCTTCTTTCGGAGCAGTTACAGCGTTGCGATTCGGGTGGGGGACACAGGGGATGGCGGGGTTGGTGCTTGCGCCCGGAGCTACTGGGGCGTGTGCCCCGGAGACCTGGGTATTGGCAGAGAGGCTCAGCCTCGTCTTGCTTCTGGCCCTAATTCACAGTGGGACCTCAACAAGAGGCTTAGTGTGTCTGGTCCTGTCTCTTCCCTGGGTCATGGGTATAATCTCGCACTCCCTGTGACCCGGCTTTATTCCAGTGTCAGCTGTGGGTCTCCCCGACACCCCATCCCCTACACACTCCAGGGGTAGGGAGCTGGTTCTCTCCTGCGAGGGAAACCCCTTTCTGCTCTTAGTTGTTCAAGGCAGCATTTAGAGAAGGAATCTCCTGAAAGGTGAGCCTACCTGTTTTCTTTTTGGAGGCAGGAGAGGCTGCTCACTCACCCATTGACTAAGCAGGAACTGGCCTCCCACCTGCCAAGCACCTGGTGAGGCACAGCCCCCCCCAGCCCTGGAGAGCTACCATCTGGGTCAGGTCCCCTGGCAAGAGGGGACAGATGCTTCAGACCAGGCACAGGCCATCTGGGGTAGAACAACAACCCAGCGTGCCGTGGCACCTAGGCACGGGTGCGGGTGTGGGCTGTGGCACCCTCGGGGCCTTGCAGCCCCGCCCCCACCCTGCACGGCTGGGGTGCTGTGCGGAGAGGGTGGTGCCTGGCCAAGCAGGGCCTCATGGATTCTCACCAGGGATGTGGACTTCATTCTGTGGCTGCTGGAAGACTCTCAGCACAGCAGGGAGTGGGGTTCAGAAAAGATCCCCGTGGCTGGGACTTTGAGAAGGGCAGAGGACCTGTGTGGTCTCCCGGGCATGCGGTGAGGACAGGAGATTTGGGAAGCCGATGCCGAGGGATCTGGGGGCCGATGGAGGGTGGGAGAGAAGTCGGGATGAGTCCCAGTCTCCCAGTTGCACACCCAGCAGATGGTGGTCTGTTTATTCGGCGGTGACAGGTCCAGGCAGCAGCCAGAGGCCGGGCCTACTGCCCAGGAGATGGCCCTCAGCACGTGGTGGTGGAGATGGGGGTGCAGAGAGCGTGTGGAGAGGAAGAAATAGTCAGGCAACAAGGAGGAAAAGCAGGAGAGTGCTGGTCCAGACACCAAGAAGTGGCCAGGGGAAAGGAGAAGTTAGATAAAGGCCATTAGACATTTATCGGAAATGCTGACCCCAAGGTCAACAGCCACCTTATCAGGAGCTGGTCAAGGGGTTACTGAAGGCAGAAGGCAGAGGTCAGCGGGATGAAGGTGACACAGACCGCGTGCAGACAACTCGGAAGCTTGGCAGGGAAGGGACAGATGCTGTGTGGCCAGAGGCAGGTGGAGGTCAAGAGGGGAGGCTCCCCAAAGCTAAGTGAATGGTCAGGGGCCAGGAGAGCGGGAGGCTGAGGATGGTGAGGAGGTGGTTGGTGAGACAGGATTCGGGGAGAGAGGCTGAGGGGGCGCCAGGGCCGAGCGGGAGGGACCTGCTTCCTCTGAGGCAAGGGGCAACGTGAGGATGGAAGGTCAGGGTCGTCGAAGAGGGTGGACCAATGGCCAAGGGGAGAGGGTGGTATGGGGGTGGGACCGTCGGCAGAGGCAGGGCCCCCCCCAGAAGAGAGGAGCCTCCACACTGTGTGGCATCTTACAACCTCGTCATTCACCCTCCACTCAACTAGCACATAATGAGCACCTGGTGTGTCCTGGTCAGAGTGCTGGACCCTGGGGACACAGAACGGGTTACACATGACTTGATCCTGTCCCGAAGGGGCTAATGGTCCTGTGGGCTCTCACCCAAAGGCTCAGAAGGCAGGCATGGGCCCCCCCTTTGCCAGAGTGCAGAGGTGCAGAGGGGTTTAGCGGCTGGCTGAAGGTCACCCAGGCAGGAGGTGGCTGAGTGCAAGTCACTTCCATGCCTCCTGACCCCCAACCCCATGCCGGTCAGCAGGTTCAGTCTCCGCCGGGTGGCCTGCAGGCTTGGCCGTTCCCCTCAGCAGGGACAGTACAAGCTGGAGGCAAACGAGTATTCCCTTTCTTTTTTTTTTTTTTTTTAAGATTTTATTTATTTGACAGAGAGAGACAGAGAGAGACACAGCGAGAGAGGGAACACAAGCAGGGGGAGCGGGAGAGGGAGAAGCAGGCTTCCGCCCGATGCGGGGCTCGATCCCAGGACCGCGGGACCACCACCTGAGCCGAAGGCAGCCGCTTAACGACTTTTGCCCCCCAGGCGCCCCAAGTAGTCCCTTTCTAAGTGTCCCGTATGTGCCCAGCCCTGGGCACAGGCCAGAGGGAAGGACGCAGGAATTCCAAACCCTCATCTTCCCTCCTGCCACTGAGGGCCTAGGAGGAGAATAAGCTGTCCCAGGAGAGGGCAGCGCTCACCTTCGGAGGAGGGATAGAGGGAGGTGGGGTTTGTGAGCTGGAGCACTCTACCCCCACCCCCTCTAAGGAGGGGCTCCCCCGGAGCCTGGAGGTCCGGTGAGGAGGGGCCTCCGAGACTCCGCCCCTGGGGCCGCGGCGGGGTGGGGGAGGGGGGACCTGCTGACTCGGGGATTTCAGGGTGCGGTCACCGTCCCCGCCCCAGGGCCTCGGAGGTGGAAAGGCCCCGGCCGGCTGTCTGGCCTGGAGCCCGCCCCTGCTGCCCAGGCATTGGCCACAGGGAGGAAAGAGGTACAGCCTCGGGCCCCTGCAGCTTCCTATGCAGCCGGCCCAGGAGGCGCCTCACCTGAGTAGGCGGCCTGGACTAGAAGGAGCCCCAGGGCCCTGGTTCCCTGTCCTCTCCTGAGAACTGTGAGTGACCCGTCAACCTCGAATGCGGCACAGGGGGGCTCTCTCCCTTCCTTCCCTGACCTCCGCCTGCTCTTTTCCTGTACCCAGGCTGAAACCCACCTTCTCTCTGGATCCCAGGCCTGACACCCACTCCTTGGGACAGATTCCAAGAGCCCCCCCAGGCAGCTGTGATTGGGACAAAGGAACTGGCCTTGGACAGACCCACCTGGATCCCCCTTTGGGACCAGCCAGGGGACCCTCCGGAAAGGCGGGGTTAGTAAGAGCAGGGGAACTGAGGTCGAGGGGAGGGTCCAGTGAGTCCCCTTGTCTGTATGCTCTCCTGCCAGCAACAGTCTTTCTCCCCCTCACCCCCTACCCAGAGAGATCAGCTGTCCTGGGGTGGCCCAGCAGGTTTCTTCACCCCTGGCCTGACCTTTCCTTCCCCGTGACTCACCTGCAGCCCAGGCAGACCCTGGAGCTCCACTGCCCAGCCTGTGGCCTGACCCATGAAACAGCAGGTTCTTGGGTAGCCCCCTCCCAACCTCAGCCCACATTCCTGGCCACCAGTGGTCCTCCCCACCCACCGCTCCCCAGGCAGAAAGGAGCAAACCCCCCCGGGGCGTGGCAGCCCCCGTGGCTGGGTGGGGTCCCCTGGGTGATCTCCCCTGA